GTGGTTGATGTCAACAACCCTTCTCGGCACACATGAGAATGTGGTCTAACACGATGATGTTGTTTAAATCAATGGGCGATGGCATGTGGTGGTTTATTCCGGCGACGTCTTGCCGACGGCGATTCGGGAGGGTTTTGGGGGTTGCGAATTGGGTCGGAAATGAAATTAGTCACAACGGTGTAGTTTTAATCAATGAAGATAGCGTGCGGGCCGACGAATCTGGCGGTTTCTTTCCGATGGTGCATTTTTGTAATCAATCGTATTATTTTTGGATATTATAAACTCCAAAAAATTCCATATATAATGACTTATTGGTAAAAAATATATCATGTCCTATCGTACTACTTGCATAATTTTTGGATATTATTTACATCATATCATTCATGTGTAATTTTATTAATACATCATATTATTAACGATTAAAATATCATATTAATACTATTTAAATAATGTATTTGTTGATGTCATTTTCCGAGGACGCACATCCGAAAATCACATAGCAAAACTCACTCTATGAGGAGGACGAATGCTTCAAGAGTACCTCCGCACCAGTCACCCCTCAAAAAGTTGCAACTCATTCGACTGCATCAAGTTATGCCCCGGTGATGACCACGAACGCTTCAAACATAGAAGACCAACTCGCTGCACTGGCCAAAGTCATTGAAGGGATGTCTCAACACATGCAGCAACAAGACAATGTCATCGCAAAGCTACTTGCAAAACTAGACAAGCCAGAACCAACCAACCATAATGCTCCAGAGGCCCAAGACGAAGCGGAAGCATCCACGGATCAACGCCATGTTAAAGAAAAAATGGCGGGACTGCAATCACCAAATAAAAATTCAAAAATACGGTTCATATAGATGTAATCAATTAAAATATAATGCTATAGAACTCCCTTTTCAACTTCTTTGTGGCTCGGAGAATTTTAAAACATTCCCCTCCTCTCACTCATAAGCGTCAAGTTTTGGGAACATTCTGAAAATTTCAGAATATGCGCGCACAACAGCATGTCCTTCTAGTGGAGGCTTTTCATGAATTTCCTATCCTCGTTTATCAATTCTCAAAATCAATTAAATCTCAAAATTCGTCAAAACAGCCCCATAGCGCTTGATTTAGGACTTGCGGTATTTGGACGCAGTTTTCAATTTTAATTTTCTCTGGCAGGGACAAACAGGTTTGGACAGACCGGCGGTTCGCTTGCGCTTGCAGTTTCCACGCCGCTTCGTTCAAATATCGGCTAAGGAAGATAGACTCGCTGCTGCGCTTACCGATGCCGCTCAAAAATTGCACTGAGAATTGGGTGAAGCTTCAGCGGCAACATCGTTGGTAAATCTTCGTTGTGGAAATCGCTTGAATGGTTCTGGAGTTCTTGGCTTCAATTGGGCGCTGCAGAATTTCCAAGATTTCTTGGCGCAGGGGAGGATCTTGATCTGGAAGAATTTTTTAAATCCCAAAATTGTCTATCGCTGCTCAGATTAGGGAGATATTTTAGAACTCCGCTTCGCTTGTGGAAGACGGACGAATCCCTCCTCTTGGACTCCATCGCTGCTCGAAAGAAAAAGAAAAACGGATGCCAGATCCCCTGTTGTGGATGTCCGCTTGCTGGGGTCTCCTTTGATCCGCTGGGTGGGAGATGCTGCTTACAGCAGTTACCGCTCTGCTTGTGTAATCGCCGCTCAAGCGCGCAGGCCCGCTCACTTCTCCCGCTTGTTTTTGCCGCTTCGCTTGCACACACACATTGACGCCGCTTCGCTTGCATACAGAGATATTAACGCCGCTTCGCTCGCCATCACCGATGGTTCACAAGGATAGATGTCTACTTCGATTTTAAAATTCAATCTGAATGAACGAGTAGATCATCTTGGAAATCCTGAATAAACAACAAAATAAAATTATTATTATTTTGTATAAAAAATATATATATATTTATTATATATATATATATAAAGGGGAGAAAAGGGAGCGACGGCTCCTAAACCTAATTTTTTATTTATTCTAATTATTCTTATTCTTATTATTACTATTATTTTATTATTGTTGATTTATCATTATAGTAATATTATTATTTATTATGATTTATTTATTATATATATATAGTAAATATTATTATTATTTTTATTATTATATGATTATTACTATATGTATATTTAGAACACAACTGCAGAGGCCGCTCCCGAGCTTTTTTTTTTTTTTTGAAATTTTTTTTTGATTTTTCTCCGAAAGATACATTGCCGTGTAGGTTTGATCCTTGAAGGATATCGCACTCTCGAAACCTACAAAGCATACCGCCGATGGATTAGATGTTCAAAATACAATAAAATTCAATATTAAAATAAAATTAGCATTAAATCAATATTTTCCAATTAAAACAAAGATACTAGGCTTATTCCCTGGCAACGGCGCCAAAATTTGATCGAATATTTATGAGAGTTTTTAAAATATCTTTTAAGATACAAAAAAAAATGATATATGTTTAAAATGAAAATAGTGTTGTGCGTGTTCGTGTAGTAACTCCAAAAAGTTCGTCAAAAATAAAAAATCTCTTTAACCGGTGAGTGTCCGGGTCGAACTAAGGGAATATGCGAATATCCTATATTTAATTAGAAAAAGTGCAATGAGTTAATGCAATCGAAGAAACTGAAAAGATAAATTGCGGAAATTAAATCTAACTAAAAAGCGATAAAATATACGTATCTCGAAAAGGATAAAGCGAGGCGTTTGTGTCTGACTTTTGCGTTCCTTAATGGCTAGATTTCCATGGATGAAATGAGCGGGATGAAGATAGCGTGATAGCGAAAAATATATGTATAATTGCGGGGCGGCTCGGAGAAATGAATGTGATCGCATTTGCTCGCTTAAGCTGATTATCGACTCGGTTGGTACTTGATCTTGGGGGATTTACAACGAGGCTTCAGCGACACCCGGCGAAGAACATTATAAGCAAGAAACCCTACTGTCACTAGGAATCTCTGTGACCCAATAGACCCCCGCCTATGCCCCATGAATTATTCTTCCAACCGTTCCGCTAGTGGCTCTACCCCTTTTATTACCTCTCTTTAATCAAAATCGAATTCAGAACAACAACTAAGCAGGTCGACAAGGCTCCCGCGTACTTAGCTACGTTGAACTACCCGGAAACCGCTTTTGGCGCATAACAGGGCTGAAATAGTCGATTCTTCTGTCGCCCTTCCGCAACCTTGTCGAAATCCAACTTGAACAATTCAAATCGAACATGGAATTTTTGGGTGAAGGTGAGGTGGAGAAATATGATAGGAATTTTACTAGCTAAAATACTATGCTGAAATTAAAAGAAAAAGGGGGAGAAAATCAGTTTGTTCGCGACACAAAACCGAAAATCTCGTATTATTAAACTAGATAAAAAAATACGGAAGAAAAGAAATGGAGAAAATAGAATGTATATTATTGTGTATATATGGTGTATATATATATCTATGGTGTATCATATCTATCTATGGTCTATATATTCTATATGGTACAATTAGAGGGGATATTTATAGAGGGAAAACTTTTAGAAACTTGGCGGTTACAACCGCCAATAAATAACTAATTCTAAAAATAACTACTAACTACCTCTAAAAATAACCATAAATAACTAACTCTAAAAATAGCTACTAATATAACTACTAATAACTACCTATTTTCTAGAAGATTCTAGAATAAAAATTACACAAAAATAGCCAAAAATTGGCTAAAAAGTAGTGCAGGATTTTAATTAAGGGAGCTGAGAGAGTGTAGTAAATGCAGGAGCTGAGGGTGCAGGAGACATAAATGCAGCGGAATTCTGTGCAGGAATTATTGTGGCGGCGCAGTAAATGCACCGCTGACCAGCGGCAATAAATGCAGCGAGAATTAATGCAGCCGCCGCTTCGCTCACTTCCACGTATGGCTTTCCGCTCCGCTCATATTTCCATGTCAGCCGCCGCTTGCCTTTCGTGCCAGCCGTCATCGCTTCGCTCACTTCAATGCCAAAGTTTCCGTGCAGCCGTCGCTTGTCTTCCGTGCGGCCGTCGCTTGCCTTCCGCGCTCATAAATACAGCCGCCGCTCGCCTTCCGTGCTCGCTTGCCTTCCGCGCATGCGCACTCCTATTCAGCCGCCGCTTGTCTTCCGCGCTCATAAATACAGCCGCCGCTCTCCTTCCGCGCTCGCTTGCCTTCCGCGCTTGCGCACTCCTAGACGACTATGGTTACCAACTTGGGGACGAGTATAGCCGTACAACACGACGCACCCCCGCAGCCGCTGCTTGTCTTCCGTGCGTCGTTTGTCTTCCGTGCGGCCGTCGCTTGTCTTCCGTGCTCGGTTGACTTTGACTTTTGTGCGTTGACTTTTTGGCGTTGACCGTTGACTTTTGTTGACTTTCACGCTGGTGACTTTTTTTTTTTTTGCTTCTAAAGCCATTTTTTCACTTTTTAAGGCCAGTTTTGGACTCTCATATCAGTTTTCAAGCATTATTTCACCTATATAAATAATGAACATCTTATAAATATTTCTTTAAATAAATAATACTTATTAAATAAAATTAATTTAGTTAAAATTAAATACTTAAATAGCACATAAATAATGCCAAAAAATATAATTCAAGAAACACATCAATTAATTTAATTTATAAACCAAAATAATTATAAATTGCATTTAAAAACTAATAAATTAATATTATACAAACAATATGAAATGAATACAATTATTAGAATAAATTAACATAAATAATACCAAAATTCGACATAAACAAATAATTAAATAAATAAATATAAGCTATAAAATATGGCAAAATCAAGAGTTATCAACTCGTCAATGGAAAGATGAACCAGCAATCGACTACATCAATCGCTGGAGGAGTCTGAGCTTGAAATGCAAAGACCGGTTGTCCGAGGCCTCCGGTATAGAGATGTGCATCCAAGGAATGCACTGAGGGTTGAAATACATCCTGCAAGGGATCCGACCCCGCACTTTCAAAGAACTTGCTACCTGCGCTCATGACATGGAGTTAAGTATAGCTTCAAGCGGGATGCACGGACCATCAATTCAAGAATCTTCAAAAGCAAAAAGATACGAAAGATATGATGCCGCAAAGAAGGGGAACAACGCCCCTATCAAACCTTTTGGAAAAGAAGCCTTGGCCATAAAAGCGACGACCAAAGCACTAGTGAAGATCCAAAGTAAAGAAAAGGAAGTTGCAAGGAAAAGATAGTCAACTCAGATAGATAGACCTCCAAGGCCCACCCGTAAAGAGTTGCAATCCAAAACTTATCATTTCCTGGATTATGACGTCTCGGGCTTCTTTGACGATCTACTCAGAGGAAACCTCATTGATCTTCCAAATTCAAAAAGACCGGAGGAAGCTGGAAAGGTTGATGACCCAAAATACTGCAAATACCATCGTGTCGTAGGACATCCCATCCATAACTGTTTCATCTTTAAAGAAAAAGTCATGAAGTTGGTTCATGAAGGAAAGATCACCCTTGAAGACGATTTTGTTGCTGTTAATGTCACTTCAATCATGTTCAGGTCTCTCGAAGTTGACATAAAAGATGAAGAATCATATTGCCTCACTACCGAGAAAGATGACAAGGCGATCAGAGAGAAATCGAGTGAAGAATGTGCCACGATAACTTTCACTGATGAAGATTTGATGTAAGGATCAAAACCCCATAATCGTCCATTACTGGTTGTGGGTTATATCCATGAGCAAATGATTAGCCGGATATTCTTAGACGGAGGAGCCACAGTCAACGTCCTTCCTCTATACACATTGCAAAAATTGGGAATACCAGTAGATCAATTGTTTGAGAGTCGTATGACAATACATGGATACAATCAAGAGGGTCAAAGAACACTTGGCACCATAAGATTGAGACTGTTAATCGATGAAATGGAAACTAACCCTTTGTTCTACGTCATAGATGCAAAGACATCTTTCAACGTTCTTTTGGGAAGACCATGGATACATGAGAATGGTGTAGTTCCATCAACGTGGCACCAATGCTTCAAATACACTCAAAATGGAGTGACAAAGAAAGTTCTCAGAGACACAAAGCCATATACAGAAGTCGAGTCGCACTTTTCGGACGCCAAATATTTCTCTACAGAAGCAAAAGAATCCAAGGTACATGAAGATGTCAAAGCGCCACAACTTAAATTGGGGGCAAAGTCAAGAGATAAAGAAAAAACACCCGCCTCAGGTTCTGCAGACTTATTAATTGAGCCTCTGAAAGATTTGACTCTTCCAAAGACCCCACTCAACCCAATCTCCCCCTCACAAACAAGGAACGGAAAAGAAGAAAAAATAGAGGCTATGCGGTTGCAAGAGGACAAAAGCTTTGGCCCAAAAGCCTACAAACTTTTCACAAAAGCTGGATATAATCCAAATGAGGAGTCACTACTGGGAAAGTTACCACCACAGACAACCCAAGGTTCGAGGGCTGGTCTTGGATACATGCCACAAGCTCCCGTACGCATCGCTATTAAAAGGGCCACAAACTATCATATCACCGAAAGCGAGAGCTTGTCTTTCAATTCACCTAAAAAAGGTAAGAATACAAGAGTATCGGTCTTCAGGAGGCTAAAACCTTCTCTCTTCACAAGGTTAGGACTAAAGATCAATAAAGAGAAAAACAAGATGAATTTCACATCAACAAAATATGTGGAGATGGATGAAGAAATCAAAAGCCGCTTTCCATCCCACATGACACGTCAAACAAAAATGACGATACATTGCGGTAAAGTTTTAAAGGCTAAATGGCAAACCATTGTCTTCACCAAACCCAAAGAAGATAATGAAGAAAGTGTTGCATCATCCTGCTACATCACTGAAAGGGGTGAAGAGACAATGATTGAAGAAGATGCAGGAAATGCACCCGCCGCGCTTGAAAAAGGGGTCAAAGCTGCAGTGGATGAGTTAGAAGAAATCAACTTGGGAATTGAAGATCACCCAAGACCCGTCTATGTCAGCAAAGAGCTGGTGAGGATGATATGAATGCCTACACACGACTTCTCAATGAGTTCCAGGATGTCTTCGCTTGGTCATATAAAGAAATGCCCAGTTTAGACCCGAAAGTTGCGGTCCACCATCTAGGTGTGAGGAAGGGAGCTCGCTCTATGAAGCAAGCGCAACGAAGATTCCGTCCTGAACTCATCCCTCAAATTGAAAATGAAGTCAATAAACTCATTGAAGTGGGATTCATCCATGAAGTCAAATACCCCCAATGGATTTCTAACATCGTGTCTGTAAAGAAGAAAAATGGACAAATCCGAGTTTGTGTGGATTTCCGGGACCTAAATAAAGTATGCCCAAAAGATGATTTTCTTTTACCCATAACTGAATTGATGATTGATGCAACGACAGCACATGAAGCGCTTTCTTTCATGGATGGATCATCTAGATATAACCAAATTCGCATGGCACATGAAGACGAAGAGTTAACCGCCTTTCGTACACCGAAAGGTAACTACTGTTAAAAAGTTACGTCTTTCGGATTGAAAAATGCGGGGGCAACCTACCAAAGAGCAATGCAAAAGATCTTTGATGACATGCTACACATAAATGTAAAGTGCTATGTCGATGACTTGGTTGTCAAAACCAAGAGAAAAGAGAATCACCTACAGGACTTAAGAAAGGTTTTTGAAAGGTTGAGGCGCTACCAACTAAAAATGAATCCTCTCAAGTGCGCTTTTGGAGTCACCTCCGGCAAATTCCTCGGATTCATTGTCCATAGTCGTGGAATTGAGATTGAACAGGCAAAGATAGACGCTATCACAAAAATGCCTGAGCCTCGCAACATCCACGAGCTAAAAAGCTTACAAGGAAAAGTAGCATATATAAGAAGATTCATCTCTAACCTCGCTGGACGCTGCCAACCTTTCAGCCGAATCATGAATAAAGGAGTGTCTCTCCATTGGGATGAAGCATGCAAGAAGACATTTCAAAGTATCAAAGACTACTTGACGAAACCACTAGTGCTGACAACGCCAATTCCTGGACATCCGTTGACACTTTACATTGCTGCACAAGAATATTCAGTTGGAGCCTTGTTAGCACAGGAAGCCAATAAAGGGAAAGAAAACGCCCTCTATTACCTCAGTAGAATGATGACACAAAATGAACTAAATTATTCACCGGTCAAAAAGATATGCTTGGCGCTTATCTTTTCCATAAAAAAGTTAAAGCAGTATTTCCAAGCGCACACTATCCGGCTGGTGTCCAAAGCAAATCCCTTAAAATATGTCATGTCAAAACCTGTCCCTTCTGATCGACTCGCAAGATGGTACCTGCAGTTGCAACAATTTGAAATCATTTATGTACCACAGAAAGCTGTAAAAGGACAAATATTGGCTGACTTCCTTGTTGATCATCTCATCCGCGCTGAGCGGGAGTTGTCTGATGATTTCCCTGATGAAGACGCGCTATTTGTCGAAATCACCCCACTGTGGAAAATGTATTTTGACGGCTCATCACAAAAAAATGGAGCTGGAGCCGGATTAATATTTGTCATATCACAAGGAGAAGTCCTTCCATACTTTTTTGCCTTAAAAGAAAAGTGTTCAAATAATGTGGCTGAGTATCAAGCACTCATCCTCGGCCTAAAAATGGTGGTAGACATCAAGCAACACCAATTTCAAGTATAAGGGGACTCCAAGCTGGTTGTAAATCAAATCATTGAAGAGTTTGAGTAAAGAAACCATAACTGATGCCTTACTTAAAGTATGCTAAAGCACTCATTGAGCTACATGCTATGCCTAGTTCAACGGCATACTCTATCGTCGGTCGTTCGACAACATGTTCTTTCGATGCCTTGGCAATCATCAAGCCAAACAAGCTATGGAGGAAACTTATGCCGGAATCTGTGGAGCTCATCAAGCTGGCCCAAAGTTACACTTCCGAATAAAAAGGATGGGGTATTATTGGCGAACCATGGTTAAAGTCTGTATAGAGTTTACACGGAGATGCCAACCATGTCAATTTCATGCTAACTTTATCAATCAACCACCGGAACCATTGCACCCAACTATTGCTTCGTGGCCATTTGATACCTGGGGCATGGACGTCATAGGACCACTCACAAAGTCATCCGCTGGACATCTCTATATATTGGCCGCAACAGACTACTTCTCCAAATAGGTAGAAGCAGTTCCTTTGAAAGAAGTCAAAATGGAGACAGTAGCTGACTTCATACGAGTCAACATCATTTACCGTTATGGGGTTCCTCGGTGTATCATCACTGATAATGGAAGATCTTTCGCCAATACTCACATCAACAAACTTTGCGAAAATTTTGGCTTCCAACAAAAGAAGTCCTCGATGTATTATGCACTGGCTGGACTCGCAGAGGCATTCAATAAAACACTTTGTAACTTGCTGAAAAAGGTTGTCTCCAAATCAAAAAGAGATTGGCATGACCGCATTGGTGAAGCTTTATGGGCCTATCTTACTACATTCCGTACTCCAACACAAGCGAGACCATACTCATTTGTATATGGGGTCGAAGCTGTCCTTCCATTAGAAAGACAAATTTCTTCACTAAGGATTGTTCTTCTGGAAGAATTGACGACCAAAGAAAATGTCCAATTAAGACTCGAAGAGCTAGAGGCTCTCGACGAGAAAAGACTACAAGCTCAACAAAGACTGGAGTGTTATCAAGCACGATTGTCTCGAGCTTACAATAAAAAAGTCAAATCACGATCCTTTCAAATCGGGGACTTGGTTCTTGTTGTGAGAAGGCCCATTGTGATCAACTTTCGTTTGGGAAATAAATTTTTATCCAAGTGGGATGGACCCTATGTCGTCACTCAGGTCTACACAAATGGTGCATACAAGTTGACATCTCAAGACGGACTCCGGATAGGGCCAATCAACGGGAGGTTCCTCAAAATATATTATCCGCGAGACCTTCAAATCAAATCAAGACTCCTTAGCATGAGAATAAACTGCAAAATAATAATAAAAGCAAATTCAAGTTGCTTTGAACTACGTTATGACTTGATCCCTTTACCGGGTACGTAGGCAGCTTGAGATATACCTTCAAGTTCAGTCAAATAAATAAAAATAATAATAATAATAAAGGATTTGGGTAAAAAAAAAATTCCCGAGAAGAAAAAAAATTAAAAAAAAAAGAGAGAGAATTTAAATTTATTGATTGGCAATCAAAAAGAAGAGTACAAATTGATCTTAAACATTAAGATTATACAACTCTTCTTTGCTAATATCCAACAACTCTTCTAAGCTTATTAAGTATTCTTCGTCTTGCGCGGAGACATTCTCTACGGCGGCAAGTTCATCCTTGACTTCAACAATTTGAATGATGATATTCTCATTAACTCCTTGACGTCGCTTAATAAGGGAAAATTCTCTCTTTTTTGCTCTTGTAAAGAGCGAAGCTTCACGTCAATATTCTCCACACACCCCTCTAAATCCTTGATAGCTTCGCACTCCTCAATATGCCTCGTCTCAAGGTGCGACAAACGATCTTTGATCTCAGAAATCTGTTGGTTATGGGCCGCCAAGAATACGGCGTCGATCGAGTCATAACATGCCTCGTCAAAAGATGCAGCGTCATAAAAAAGGGCCCTGACTCGGTCTTCAATATAAGAAATTTCGGAGTACTTAAAGCTTTTTATTGATTGGAGCGCTACATTAACCTCGTCCTTAATCGAGGAAAGCAAACGAGCTAGTGTCCTCAAAAGCTTGCTCCGAAGATCCGACCATACTTTTCCTATATATTCGCGCTGGATCGCCTTCACAAAATCCGCGCCACAGAATTCTGAAACCGCGGGCACAACGGACTGAACAACTATGGGCTTGGTTGGAGCATCCTTTACTTGCTCATTGCAAACACCTCTACTTTCTCCAATCACCTCAACAATGGAATCTCGGCTCGCCATCTTTTCATCCATACTCGGGATTCTTTGCTCTAACTGAAAAGGGGATATAAAAAAAATCATGTCAAAAAAAAAAATGAAAGAGAAGTTACCTCTCTCGCGAAATCGCTCGAAGAATGGTGTTGGCTCGAACGAGGATTTGACGGGTTGATGATATAGGGATCTCGACGAGCTCGCTTCCAATGAACATCATGCTCACTACTGCTTCGTTCCGAAACAGAAGGTACCCGCCCGCTTTGAAGAACCGATATTAGGAGTACTTGAATTTCCATTGTTCCTCTCAGGAACACCCGGAATAAGTAGCGGCATCTTTCGAGCTTTATTCGATGGCTTGGTCTGATTGGTGGTCGTTTGTACCGGTGGGATATACTCATCCAAGAAAGACCCGCAAACTTGAGTTCACCACTTCTTGTAGACGTTGGAAGAAAATTCCCTCAGAATCGCAGTAATGCGTGGAAGAATAACTTCGGCTGAAGATTTCAAGTAAGTGCTTTGGTGCCAATGTTGATAGCCTTCCTCAAAAGCGCAGCAACGGACATCTTTCAAAAGAACTCCGGGAACTCTTGGAAAAAACCGAATTGACGGCAAAAATGGTGGGGACTATACGGCTCCAAGAAGCATCGAAATCCATCCCGCAAAGTCAGAAAAAAAGAGCGAATGGAAATGAAGTATTCTTGCTCGTAGTCTTCGCGCTTCCCGTCATCAACGAACCGTACGTCGAAGTCTTTTGTGATCATGGTGCAAGCCCAACGAAAGTAGTCACCGCGCAAGATTTTTTGGCATGTAACATCTGCTCTATACGCACGAGCACTAACAGCCCCGGAGTGCTTCACCATCCCCGGACCACGGATTCCCTTCCATACGCCGTAGTGGGTCTGAAAATATTCACCGATCCATCCAGTCAAAAAGTGGAGAGGAATTTTCGACCGAACTTTCCCAGGACAGGATGAATCTGCGATCTAGTTCAGCACTCTATAAATACTAGTCAAGACTGGAATGGCCAAGCTTACTGGAAATCCCGACGCTAGGGCACTTGCCATCTTGAAAGTTGAAGGACGTATCAAACAAACATCGTCGAGCGGAAGCACAAAGATGCAAAGCCAACAAGAAAGGAACGCTGCGAGAAAAGTCTCCTCAAGGTGCTCCCGTCCAACTTTGAGTTTGGCAAAAGATGACTCTTGCGCCTTCGACCATGGCTCGTGGGCACCAATCTCTCCGGTAGGATTGTAAGTCGCATCAGGCCGAGAAGAACGAGTAGACTCCTTGCCGCGACGGATTTGAGGACGCTCGTATTTGACAGTCTTCTTGCACCAAAAGGAAATCCATTCGGTTGCACTGACACCACGTCGACCTTTGTCACGACTGCGGAGAAGGTGGTAGGCCTGCAACAAGTACCGGCACAAACGGGGAATCAGCTTTCTATCCTCTTTACTGTCATATAGCTCCTTTGCGCTTGGTGCCACCTCGTCGTAAAAGGAGCCAAGTATAGGGAGGCCCGCCAAGGACGCCAAGTCACGGAGAGAGATCGACACTTCACCGGCGGCAGTCAAAAGGGTGTTGGTTCTGGGACACCACGCCTCACAAACGGCCTTGACGATCTCCGAAGAATAGTCGTAGGAGAACAAGGAAGCATAGACCGCATCGTAAATGCATCATTTCTTTAGTGGAATCACGCATCGATCCAGTATATCCTCCGCCCATTCCCAATAGCCGGCCATATACAAAAAGTTGCTATCAAAGGAAGGAAGACCATTCCAAACGCACGCTCCTTCCATGATCCGCCGCCCCAAGGTTGGAAGTGGAAGAACATCGTTTGACATGTGTTGATGGAGTGAGGATTGCAAGGTATGCTTTCCGCCAGCGACATTCCGAGACCACGTCTTTGGGAAATTTGGGACCTCTAAGCGAGGGCGAGCAGCTTCGCGTCCTACGAGTGGTGGATGCACCAATAGACGAGTCGTCTTGTCTAACGGTTGACCTTCAAACTCGCAAATCACCAACTCGGCGTTTCCAGATGGGGATGAGACATCCTTGAAGTAAGCCATCTCGCCTACAAAAATAAAAACACAAACAAAGATCAAAAGATGAAAGAAAAAAAAAAAAAAAGAAGAACAACAACACAAGAGAAAGAAACCTACGCTAGAATGAGAGAAATCAAAGTTGTGAGAAATTGAGAATGACAAAGTTCTCTCATAGTGAGGGGTTTATATAGTGTCTAAAAATTGAGACGTGGAAAGACATGCATAAGGGAAGGAAGAAGATAAGAAAATAAAGAGAAAAAGAAATTAAAAAAAAAGAAGATAAAAATTAAAAAAAAAAAACAAGGAAAGAATATATATATATGATATGTGTATAAAAAAAATGGGTAAAAAAACGCCATTTAAAATAAATAAATAAATAAAAATTTTGCAAAAAACAAAAGATTGGAAAAAAATGCCATTTTTTTAAAAAAAAAAAAGAATGAAAAAAACAAAAATGGTAAAAAAAAAAATGCCATTAAAAAAAAAACCCGCCTTGAAAAGAAAAAAAGGAAAAAGAAATTCTTTTTTGATGTTTCGAGACTCGTTCACGCCTTAAAAGCTTTGCGTCCGCTTAAACAAATTTCGAGGAGGTATTTTGTAGGCATTAAAAATTAAATGTCTAAATTAAATTAAATATCATGTATTTTGGAAGAATATAAAATTCCAATAATATAAATATATAGTATTTAATTATGCACATATGTTAAATTTTGTACAATAACTATAAACCATTAATGCAAAAATCTATTTAAAATGAAAAATATCGTACAAATATTACGTGTATAAATAAGAGCCATAATAAATTTGGCAGCAAAATAAATTAATCTTGTCAATAAAAGAAGTATATAAATTAATATCTTTAAAAAAAGACAATGATATAAAGATTTTGACGAGAAAGAAAGGTGCACAATCAAATCCGTCAAGAATGGAAAACGGCATCTGATGGAAAATGTAAGATTATAAAATCCTTCTATTGGCCAATCAGGACGCGCCACGTGGCACCATCCGAAAAGGAAGCCAATGCCACCCTCCCCATAAATAGGAGCCTTGGCCAATTCATTATACACCGAAGTTCATTTGAAGACTCGCGCAAGTGTAAGTCTCTCTAGACTCTCTGCAATGTTCTTCATTGTTCTTCGTGTCCTTCGAAGCGTTCTTCGCCGAAAAGTCACCGATTTGGACAAATGATCCAATATTGGTTGACGAATCGATGGAGTTAACGTTCTTCATCGTATGTCCGAGTCGGAGGAAAGATCAAAGCTCCCAAAGCCATCGAAGAATCCATCAAAGCCAAGGAAGAGCCTCCAAAGTCGCTCCCAAAGCTTCAAGATGTTCATCGCGTTCTTCATCAAAGACGCAAATCCGGCCCTATTCGATCCAAAAGTCAAAGGGACACGCCGTCAAAAGCGTTATGGAGCACCAAATCTACCCCCTAAAAGATCAAATTCTGTCTGATCATCCAAAGGAGGCATCAATCCAAAATCGACGATCAAAATCGCCAACACGGGTACCAAAGCCCTCCAAAAGCCGGCAAAGCCAAACCGAAGACTAAAATCCCTTCGGATCAAAGAAGCCACCCAAATCCAAGTTGGAAAAATGGATCAACCCGGGAAGAAAATCAAAGGATCCGAATAGAGAATATGACTCGCATATATTTAAATTAAATGTAATTTGTACGATTTTGTATTTGTAAAAATATAACACAAATTTTTTTTTCTACACCAAAAAAAATAATAATAATTAAAAGCAACTTAAAGATCAAATTTATTTAAGAAATGATCAAATCTATTCAAAATCTACAAAGTAGCATCCAAACCAAGTTAAAGTCAAATCACCTCCTAAGGATTGAAAACTTATATATAATTAACAAATGTAATGCTGATCAGACAAGATAATTTACTCGGCCTATTTTAGCTTATATTTACCTGTGGATCGAAAAATAAATTGGCTGAAAGAGTTATGTTCGGGTATCATGAATTTTTTGTAATGAAAATAATAAAAATAAAAATTGCTCAATAACAAATAATAGTACAAACTCTTGTTTTTTAATATCATTGGTCGAAAAGGGGTTGAGGTGAGACCCTCAACTTGTATATATATTTTGAAATAAAAAAATATCATGTACAAAAAGACCAAACATGTCTATCGGTCCAACTGCAAAGACATAAGAACTCATGTGTAAATTATAAACAACGATGTCTATATTTTGTTTGTAACAAAATTTAAAAACAGTTAAGTTGTCAATCCTTTCAAGTTTATTTTTTTGTTTAAATTTTTAAAATTTTACATTTTACATTTTTAAAAAATATATATATACATTTTCTTATACAATATCTCATCGCACATAATTTTAATACTAAATCAAAATCAATTTTTTTCAAAATCACCCAAAATAAACACTAAGAGAAAAGCTACGAAAAATAGCACATTAAGAGCATATGGAATAGTTGAAAGCTTAAAAAAAGCCTCACAGATGACGTGTCCAAGCTTATTTGTCGATTGGAAGCTTTATTCTTTTTTTTTTAATTTTAAAAACAAACTACAAAATGACTTTAATTTCTGAATTGAAAAATAAAAACACAAGTGAGGCGACATGGTAAAGATTTGGGCCTCTCAAGCATTTACTGTCTCTCTTTCTTCTATTCCTTTTTTTACTTTGCGTCCCATCTTGTCATTTTTTCTCTTTTTCCTTTTTTTCTCAAGCCTCTTTTATTATTATTATTATTATTATTTTCTTTAATTTTTTCTCACTGTAATTATAAGAATTGGTTTTTCTTTTTCTTCTCCACCCCCTCTCTCTCTCTCTCTCTCGTCCTTTGATTTTTAAGCTATTGTTAAATAATTGAACATTAAAAAATAAAGCTTCTATTTATACTTTTGACACATAAGTCTTGAAAGTTTTTCTATACTTCCATCATTGCTGTTGCTATTGCACAACCGTTTGATACTTTTCCCTGTCTCAAATCTTCCTTGGTCTGATAATTTTTGCCTCCGTGTCGTCTCTACCTCACCCAAGTTTGTGCATTAAAACAACCTGGAAAATTGTATTATTGTATACTCACCTTTTTAGTGTGGCCTCTGTTTGAAGTGAGAGGGCTTTGATACATGTATCATTGCATATGCTAGAAGATATTGAAGACAAATATATATAGTTAAAGCATTTCATTATTGTCTCAACACACAAACTGTATATATAGTCAACCCGTTCTCACAACTCGAGTTATACTCACATTATGCTTTTACGACCAGAAATATGAAAAATGCATCACAAAATACTTTTAAGAACAAGAAGAAATGTGAGAAATACACCACAAAGATAATCGGGCAAACAAACGTAACTAATTAATTATTGTTTGTCTATGGGAAGGAGAAGCCATTGGCAGTGGATCCTCCATCGACAGATATAATCTGTCCGGTGATATACGAGGCTGCCGGGAGGCAGAGGAAAGCCACCAAGCCCGCCACTTCTTTAGGCTCTCCGGCACGCCCAAGTGGTGTTTCGGTTTTTACCTTGTCGGCCAGCGCTGTATTATGCTCCAGCATCTGAAATTGAATTACTATTAATTAGAGAAGAAGCTTTCTTACTTGATTAAGCATTGGATATATATACACACAAAAGAGAAGACTTACAGATCCGACGGCTGGCGAAGTGATGAAGGAGGGAGTGATGGCATTGACCCGAATGTTGTCCTTCGCCCACTCGCAGGCTAAGTTCTTTGTGAGTTGGTTCACGGCCGCTGTAGGATCATATCATATATTTACAAAATGAGATGATTTGTTTGCTGGAAATGCAATTGCTATATATGAATAAATACCTTTGCTGGCTCCATAAATGGATCCGACAAAGACATGGGTAAGACCCGCAACAGAGGAGATGAAGACGATGCTGCTGTTCCCAGCGGCCTTGAGAAGAGGATGAGCAACTTGGGACAAATGGAAGGAAGCTTCAAAGTTGGTAGACATCACTGATGCATAGTCTTCAGCGGTGAAATCAACTGTGGCCTTGAACACATTAGTCCCGGCATTGTTCACCTACAATTCCAATTCCAACATTTCACTCAATTTCCATATCCATCAAAATCAAAATCAAAATCAAAATCAAAATCAAAATCAACCACTTACAAGGATGTTGAGCTTGCCATTGAAAGCAGAGGAGGCGCTCTCGATGAGCTTTTCCCTCTGTTCCCGGGAAGACATATCGCAGACAGAGCCACCCACTTTGTAGCCCTTTGAAGTCCACTCCTGCAGGCGCTGGTTCAGATCCTCGGCGCTCCTGGCGCAAGTGTAAACGTGCGCACCCAATTCAGCCAGTTCTTCCACAATCGCCTGTCCGATGCCGCGAGTCCCGCCGGTAACCAGAGCGGTGCAGCCGGAGAGCGACCATCTGGAGTTTGAACTCGAACCCTTTCCTGCCATCGGATCAATTTCGCGGGACGGCCTGTACGGTTTTCTTAGGGTTTTTTTGAGAGTAAGTAAAGTGAAGTAAGTAGGTTGGAGAATACGTAATAGGTCCGATCCGATCTTATATATAGAGGGAGAGGGAGAGGGAGAGGGAGAGAGAGAGAGAATAGATCATGGAGATGGAATTGGTTGGGCACTCCATGGAAGACTTGTGTGAAGAATGGGAATCTCCTCAGCAGGAAGGAAGGAAGCTTCTGCAAATTAAAAGTAAAAGTAAAAGTCGTAATTAAGTGGAAACGCATTTTCTATTCACCAGCTGTACGGGTGGTCGCGTCACAAGGAAACACGTTTTCTAGAAAACGATGTTTCTAGAAGAGTCAGTCACAAGTATAAAAAAATAAAACAAAGTCAATAGTAAGAATGGGTTTCTAGAAGACCTTGTCTCCATGTTGCAAATTCAATAAAAATGGAGTATTAATTATATGTACTATTTACGACTAGATATTATAACGGTTTATAATAGAAATATATAAGTGTTAATAATACTCCTTCCTCTCATAATTAGATAGATATTTCTTTTTACACGTAATTTTAAAAATATTAGTACTTTCTTCGTCCATGAATTAATGTCTTATTTGGGACGTCCAACAACTATTGTCCTATTTCCTTTTTTAAACACAAATTTTACATTTTTACCATTCATTCATTTATTACTTTTAATGTCTACCAAACAATTAAGGGCAAATTTGTTAATTCATAACAAAAAGACAATTACCTAAAGAACCGTGCAAATATACTTTAGGACAATAGAAATTGGACGGAGAGAGTATTATATTAGGATGTAGAAGGAATAAAATAAAAATGACTAAAATAACCTTACTAGTATGTGTGATATAAATGTAATGACATTTGTGTAATATATTATAAGTTGTAAGGGTATTTATAAAATTAGGTAGATAGTACAGTTACTACATACTTTGTTATGGGACGAACTAAAATAAAAAAATTGATACTTTATTATGAGACGGGAGGGGTATACTTTTTCGTCTGCTATACATGATTTTCTTTTTAAATAGAGATATATTTTTATTTTTAATATATTTATTTATTTTAAATATATTTAATAAATTTAAATTAATTTAATTTTAATTTTAATTTGTTAGATGTAAAATATATTCAAAACCTCTTTATTTTTTTTCTTTTCAATAAACAATATTTATCAACATTTAAAACTCATTATTTTTTATAAAATTAATTTTAGTTAATTATAAATAAATAAATATTTTTTATTTGTATTATAATCATTCGGTCTCTTAACAAACTATCTATTTTTTTTATTTTGGTTAATTCCAGAATAAAGTATCAATTTCTATTTTTAGTACCTAAAATTACAAATATCTTTTAAATTTACAATATATTACACATTGGCATTTGTATCATACAATACTAATAAGATTAGTTTAATCTTTTTATCTTTATTTCTACTATATTTCAATATAATACTAATATTTCTAAAACTCCGTAGAAAAAAAAAACGGATAGATAGATATGAGACAGAATGAGTATAAAATTTAATTATTTACAAAATAATATTGATATTATATATATTTTATTGATATATAATGCTAAAAATATTTAAATACATACTTTAAATTTCTTTTAATCGTATAAATTAATTTATATTTTAAAATATCAACAATATTACTTATATAAAAAATAAGTGGCCGGCTTTCCGGCCATTCCTAAGGGTACTCCTGTTATGCGCATCCTGAACCTGCACCATTTGTCTTCAATGATATCTCCATCTCAGTCATACGTAAATCGTCTCCCTTCCTCTGTCATAGGTAATGTTAGCCCTTTTTACAAGCTATTTATTCGATCTCCTGATAATAGTCTTCTTTGTCATTTAGGTTGTGTTAGTTTTGTCCCCCTCCCTTCTCATAAGCACACTAAATTAGAACCTCGTAAACATCTGTGCTATTTTTTAGGTTACGGGTTAGAGCATAAGGGTTATCATTGTTGGGATCCTATTTTCAATAGCTTACGTATTTCCCGTCATGGTTATGTTATGAGAACATACTAAGTTGCTTCCATATCTCGATTTTGAGTTCCCTTTGATCGCGTCTCCCTTTTTCACTATGACTTGACCTTTTTTGTTTCTTTCTAATGATGCGGCTCTGTTTTCCACTCCTTACGGTATTCCGGTCGCTTCTTGAACAAACACTAATTCCTGAGTCTTCCACTACTCCCAAGACTGATCCCATATCACTACCAGAGTCTGACACAGCTTTGACCTCGGACCTTGACCTTGGTCCTTGACATTCCATTCAGGTTAGTCATCCTCCTATCCATTTACTTGATTATCATTATTTTTCTGCCACATTGTCCCAACATGAGTCCAGGTTCTTCCGTGAGGCGTATGTAGACCCATTGTGGTAGCAGGCTATATCCGAGGAGTTACAGACTTTGAAGAAAATTCATACGTTTTATATGGTTGATCTTTCACCTGGGAAGAAACCTATTAGATGTAAGTGAGTATTCCAGATCAAAATCCACTTTGATGGATCCATTGAGCGCTACAAGGCTCATTGAGTAGCTAAAGGCTACACCTAGAAGTATGTTATCGACTATAAGGAGACTTTTGCCCTGGTTGCTCGTCTTACCTCTATCCGTTGCCTTATAGCTATCGCTGTCACTTGTCAGTGGCTTCTGCATCAGCTAGTTGTCAAGAATGCGTTCTTATATGGTGATCTATCTAGGATATTTATATGTCTCTACCTCTATATTTTCCTCCATCCTCAAAGGTATGCAAACTTTGTCGTGCCTTATATGATGTGAAACAAGCACCCCGAGTTTGGTTTGCAAAATTTAGCTATGCTTTGCTTCAGCTCAGCTTTACTTCAAGCTATCATGACTCTGCTCTCTTCATTCTTCGTGGGTCCACTGAAGTTATTATTCTATTACTTTATGTGGATGACATGATCATCACGGACGATGATCAAATTGGTATCTCTGAGCTGCAAGATCATTTTCACCGCCACTTTGAGATGAAGAGTTTAGGGCCTTTTCAGTACTTCCTCGGTCTTAAGATTTTCGGCACCTCTGATGTATATTATCTCTCTCAAGCCAAGTATGTCTCCGATCTTTTATCCGGAGCATGTTTCACTTACTCCAAGACCTCTCTTACACCTCTTGATTCTGACTACCACCTTATTCCGATGGATAGTGTCCCTCTTGAGGATCCTACCTTGTATCATCAACTGATGGAAAGCTTGATTTACTTGATTGTTACTCTGCCCAACATTACTTATGTTGTTCATGTCGTCATTGGTTTATGTTTACTCCTCGGACGACTCATTATTCTGATGTTCTCCGAATTCTTCGGTACTTCAAAAGCACCCTCCTCTATGGTCTTCATTGTTCAGCTCATTCATCTTTGGTTTTGATTGGGTATTCTAACGCTAATTGGGCTGTGGATCCTATTGATCGCTGCTCGACCATTGACTTTTGTTTCTTTCTTGGTGATTCACTTATTTCTTGGAGCAATAAGAAATATACGGTTGCCTCTTGATCCAGCACAAAGTCTGAGTATAAAGCTATTTTCGATACCACTGGGATTTTATGGCTTCATTGGTTGTTGGTTAATCTCGGTGTGCCTCAGTCCTCTGCTACCGTTGTTTATTGCGATAGTCAGAGCGCCTGAAGATTTCGACCAATGATATTTTTCACGTGCTTATGAAGCACATTGAGATCGACTATCACCTTTTCATCACCACGTTGCTCACAACACCGTCTCATTGCCTCCCACTTCTTCCATTGATCAAAATGCCGACGGCTTCGCCAAGCCCCATCTTCCAGATTGTTCTCAGTTGTTTTTGAGTAAACTCAAGCTAGTTTCTACAGTCCCACCTTGAGTTTGAGATGGGGGATGTTGATATATATTATATATATGTGTATAGTCTGGCCCATTATCCAACATGTATATATATGACGATTTAACTTTAATTGTTTTTTAAGAAATTTAGTTCGTTCATATTATTCTAACTAATAAAAAATACATCCATAAAAAAACTACAAAGTGAACACATTGTTTAAAAAAAAATCTTAAAAGCACTCAGTGATAAAAAAAATCAAACACAGTGCAAAAACCCACTATTAAAATATTGTATATTTTCCTAAAACAATAGCAAAAACATTGTAGAAGCCAAAAAAATGCTCCTAAAAATACAATATGTTGCTTAAGAGAACTAGTGTCAAACATCATGTAAATTTGCAACAAAAGTATTTCCCATCAAAATTAATCCTAATTTGGATTTGGTGCAAAAAAAACAATGAATAATTTTTTTCCTCACCAAATCTGTTACAAAATTGGAAAAAAAAAAAAAAAATCACCGAAATTTTACCAACAAATTTACCTCATATTATTTTCCCAAATGAAAAATTAAAGCAGCAAAATTAACACAATTTTTCCACCAATACATCAAATTAGCATCTCATACATTTATAAGTAGAAGTAACGTTTATATTTACTATACTTTCACTAACGTAAATCAAAAATCATATTAACGGATCCAAAATCAAGATATCAACATCATATCCGAGGAAAAACTGAGGATCACTCAATTTCTTCTACAACACAACAAAGATGAGAATATCGAGCGGGACAAAATCAACGATTGCGTCAGCATGGTAGAGACCACTTGATGTACTGTTTCTACAATCTGGACAACAAGTAAGATTTAAATAAGTTTTGAGGAGCCTATTTCTTTAAAATATATATATATAATCGCAGTATGATCTAAACATTTTGATTAGATAATGTTTGATCCGGTGAAATTTGATAGCATACCTTTACAAAAAATATCAACATACAGAAAAATAGCGAAAGAAATTGATAAGAATAGGCATTTACTGCAATCATAGAGACATACTAGACCAGAGAGTAATGCTATACACCCCGAGTTAACATTACTAAACAAATATGTAGGTTGAAATTTTGTTTGAGTGCATTAGTCTACAATAATAAAAGAGTAGAAAAATTTTCATGTAAGTCCATGGATCATGTAGTGCATACAAAGATTAAAAATGTTGTATATTATAATGGAGAGTGAGAAATATTATCTACACTCAAGGAGTCCAATCCTTATAGATCATGCAAGAGTAAAAGATTCATCACTAAACTTATATTATTGTGTGTTGTGAGTCAACCCCAATATTCAAGCAACATGGAGCTTTATATATATATATATAT